CGGGCCATCTCCGGCCCTCGAATGGTTGAAATCCGACTCGCTACCATCAAATTTGATCGATCGTATGATATCTGAGCACTCAGCGTGTTTCAAATATTTTTTGGTACTAATTTGTATGGTGGGCCATCTTAGGGTTAGCGAAACTATATTAATAAAATAAAAGTCTCGACGAAATAAAATCATTTTTCTGCCATTATTATTATTAGCAAACAGATTGAATTTCTGAAGAATCACTGACAATTTGAACATAAAGTTACAAATGGTAAGCCACATACAACGTTATTGACAAACTGTTAGCTACAGTAATAATAACCCTGCCTTTGATATGAACTTGTAGTTTTGTCTATGGAAGTAACAGGACCTTGGGGCGGTATATAATCTCATTTGTCTACTCGACCTCGATAATCTATGTAATTATATTTCATGTATGTGTACCTTACTGACCTTACACTGAATACGCATAATTTCATACGACTACTTATCAAATGATTACCTATAAGCTTTCAAACTGAACTTAATTTCATACAACATATTTTTAATAATGTAACGTTGATCAAATTTTGAATAATAACAAAGCCCACTCTTGGACCAAGCTTCAAAATAAACTCAATTATTGCAAAAGTGACGTGAATCGAGAAAATAGATGATTACTAATAAATTGTGTAATTGCATAGTGACGTCATAGACAGTGACAGTACCATCACAAACATAGCCGATTGACGTTAACGAGCTCACAGTGATAATGTCGCCGGCTATTTTTACACCGCTTTTGTATATTTTTATCATCTCTTTTTATCTAAATAGGATGTTATTTAACAACGGACGTCACCATGGGAACAGACAGTGACGAAACATCTATAAGTGCGTCACCGCACCGCCCCCAAAAGTGTCGAAGTCTCAACCGGACACTGTCGACGACAACAGGTGCCCTTTTGGTATGAACTTCTTTAGATAAGTAAATTTATTGCTACTTTTTTCCTGAGATCCTTTTTCTTCTATGTAACAGGGGAAAACTTAAATAAATATTAAGGTCAGTAAAAAATAAATAATAATTCATTTACATCTTTTAGGTTCAAAACATTACGTTCTTCTTACGAGTTCACTTTTTGAGAAAATCTCACGCTAAAATATTTGAATGTTATACTACCCCTTAACAACATGAAGCTTCGTAAGCATATGAGTAGATTTATTCAAAGTATGTTGAGATTGTATTTGTTTGACACACGACAAATACAATCTCAAAATACTTTCTACTCCCATCCCAACTGAATGAAAGGTATACAATCGACTGAATATTTTCCGGTAAAACTACCACACCTAAAATGGCTAACAGTGCCTTTATGAAGTGAAACTTCTTTAAGCACGCTATCTTGGGAGGTAAGCTTGCGAATGCGTTACGCGTTACGAAAAGTGTGTTCGGGCGAGGAGAACGGAGTTGAGTGGGGGATATAAGCAAGAGAGAGAAGTGCGCGCGCACATTTTCTTTCTATTATAACTAGTAAATGAAATATGTATATTTACATACATGTATATATTGTACACACATATATAGTATATATATTTATATACAGATGGAGCTAAAGAAGTTTCACTCAGTCGTGTGTCGCATGAGCACACTCGTTTTTGAAATGCAACTTCTTTACGCACGCTTGACTTGGGGGGTAAGCTGGCGAATGCGTTACGCGTTACGAAAAGTGTGTTAGGGCGAGGCGATCGGGAGTTGAGCGGGGGATATAAATGAAATATGTATATTTACATACATGTTGATATTGTACACACACACACATATCTTAATATATATAAATCTCGTGTCACAATGTTTGTCCTCAATGGACTCCTAAACCACTGAACCGATTATAATAAAATTCGCACACCATGTGCAGTTCGATCCAACTTGAGAGATAGGATAGTTTAAATCTCAAATTATAGTCGCAATTTTAATTTATTGCAAATTATTACTTTTGAGCGGTACGAAGTTCGCCGAGTCAGCTAGTATATATATATATATACATACAGATGGAGCTAAAGAAGTTTCGCTTCAGTCGTGTGGTCATAAGCACACTCGTTTTTTTGCTGAGTAATTATGAACACCAGAAATGGCTAGTAGTAAATAATTTGAGGAGCTTTACGGCGCAATGATAAGTGAATTCCACGGGTGCATTCGGTCTATCAACGTGGAAGATGAGTTACTTGCGCACTGACCGTTAATAGGAGAGGTAGAGCATAGCGGATTGTTCGCTCGAATCGGAGCACCGTTCTGAGGAAGTAACCTCCAGCTTGCAGGAGATTAAGTGAAATAACACTACCTTTTGTTAAGTTTTCAGGATTCCAAGGGGTAGGAAATTGGGTCAGGGTATGCAACAGCGCGTGTGATAGCTATCACGAGCTACTATAAGCTACGGTGGTTGCTTACCATCAGGAGGGTTATAAGTTGGCGTGGTGCGATCCGCATCATAGGCGATGAGTAGGTGACTAAACACCTCGAGCCTCTTCAATTACGCCGTGACGTGGCGTCACTAAGCGCGTTCTATCGTCTGTGCCACGGCGAGTGTTCTGAAGAGTTATTCTCTCTTATTCCACCTTCCCCTTTCCTTCTGAGGACCACGCGCGCTTCTTCGGTGCCACCGTCTAACTGTGGCCACAATTCCAACGCGTACAAATAAATTTGGTGACTCATTTCTTTGTCGCACTATCCGTAAATGGAATGCTCTGCCTACTCACGTGTTCCCTCCTTCCATCCCAGGTTGTACCTGGGATCCTTTAAAAGAGGCGTGAAGAAGCAACATGCAGGCCGGCAAGGTGAGGATGGCTGGTGTGGCAGATAGAACTGCTGTTCCAGCTATCTTCACTTCTGGACTTCACCATCACTTAACATCAGGTGGGGTGGAGTCATTTATCGGACCTATCTACAAAAAAAATAACAAAAAAAAACTTCACTGAACCCGCGTGGTAGATCACGGCCTATTCTCACTATTACATTCATAGTGAAGGCCTGTGCCTCAGCAGTGGAGATATTAATATTTATTGAAGACCGCTGTAAAGTGAGTGGTATGTACACCGGTTTTTAAGATGTCGCCTACTGAGAGGTGCTGGGTTCGAATCCCATTGGGCCAAATGTTTGTGTGTTTATCATACGAGCATTTTTTCCTGGCTAAAAAGGTAAGTTATGGCTATATTTCTAGAAAAAATATACTTAAATATGTATAATTCCTTGTATTTTTATCCATTACCAAGTAGGTATCCCAATAATACAAGCCTTACAGTGCTTACTTTGGGGTTAGGCTTATTGAGGCTTATTGACATTGGGCCAAATGTTTGTTCATCATACGACCATTTTTTCCTGGCTATAATTAAAGGTAAGTCATGGCTATATTTCTAGAAAAAAAATGCTTACATATGTATAATTCCTTGTATTTCTATCCATTACCAAGTAGGTATCCCAATCATACAAGCCTTACTGTGCTTACTTTGGGGTTAGGCTTATTGATGTGAGTGTTCAGTACCCTTAGTACGAGTTTGAGCTCACGAAAACTATCATAGTTTTCGTAATTGTAAATTATGTTTCTATGACTATTTTGGTGCAAAGTAACCAAATATACTTAAAATTTAAGAACACGCAAATGATTTAATGATAGAATTTCAACACTGTTTATTTGTATTGAAACGAAAACAATAAAATCAGTACCCTTAGTACGAGTGTGAGCTCACGAAAACTATCATAGTTTTCTTAATTGTAAAACCCGTACTAAGGATACAAGAGCTGAAAGATTTATGTATTAACTAGCGGCTGCCAGCGACTTCATCCGCGTAAGCTTTAGTTTTTTAAGAAACCCTCAGGGACCTAACACTTTTCCGGAATAAAAAGTATTCTATATAATCCAGGTAATAAACTATAAGTGTGTGTACCAAATTTCATTCAAATACTTTCAGCAGTTTTTGCATAAAAACTTTCACATTTTTTAATGTACGTAGGATACGTAGGTGGTGATGATATTGACCTATCCAGAATAACAGCTCATAAGCTCATCCGAAATAGACTTATAAAGTGCAAATTTATGACGATAATAATTTTTTTGCCAGTAGTAAATCGTAATGTAGTTCCTAACTTTTAGCCCGTAGCTTTACTTGCTTTCACATACCCCCACCATTCTGCATCTAAACCATAAGGGAGAGGGTTTTCTAAAAAAATCATAGCTCATCAGCTATTAGTAAACTACCTTCGTATTAAATTTCATCTTTGTAATACAAGAGCAGCAGGTACTATAGTAATAATGAATAAATGACCTTTTACTTTACTACATACTCTAAGTGAGGATTAGATTTTGGAAATATAATTTTCTAGTAAGAACTTACTTATCTTGTACATCAAAAGGCTTGTAATATTTAAGTACATGATCATTACATCGTAACTTTCGCTGTGTCGTGGGCTTCACATAATAAGGCGCATATCGTAGGCGCCGGAAATGCGTAGGTTTTGCCCTTATTAAATTTTCAATAGCGAAAATGCCACAGAAATCGGAAACAAAACAGCCCCATATTATACTCACTTTCAGAGTACTTATCATTTTGGTGTGTGGCTTCATTTGCTTTAATGCAAGGAATTTATGCTGTCCTCCTCCTCCATCCATTCTCCATTTTGTTCCCTTTTTTGTTAAGAAAATGTAACCTTTTAAGTTAATTGTTAATTACAGGTGACAGCAGGGTTCAAAGTTTCCGATAAATCAAATCGTTCATTGAAATATCTGTTTCAGAAAGAGATAAATACACAAAGCATACACATCGTGAAATGGAAGGTCGTAGGAGTAGCGCACCAATAGTAGAGGACTTCGTCAGCCTAGGCATTGTGACGTCCAGATTCCAGAATACCCGAAAGTGAGTAAAGTCACTGAACCACGTATGTACAGATTTTGAGTTTAAAGTTTCTAGAACACATCACGTACTCACATTGTTTTGACTGTTAAAATATTACTTGAAATAAAAACTGAAAATAAAAAAACAAGTCCAGTGGGTAGTCTATAATTCTGTTAAGTAAGGAACAAAGCTACTTTAACTTTTTTTGTAACATGAAGTAATATCGTTAACATAAACTTTAAAAACTTAATGTATGATTATTGTAATTTAATGAAAACTAGAGTTTTTAATAAGAAGGAACTGTAGAATAGTTTTACTGTAAGTACTTCGTATAGGATAAGACACTGCGAGTAGCCATTTTTTTCGCCTAAGTTTTATCTACGTTTATAAACACCAAAATTAAATTTCTTTTCCCACTATTCCCGCAGTCTTATCTTGCATAGTACTTCGCGCTATCACTTTTTCATCTTAAATATTTATGTTTTAACTTCTTAAATATTTGTCGAAATGACATAGTGTAAAAGGCAAAGTTTATCGTCTTTAAATATCAAAAGCGATAAGAGTATTTGTTTGAATAAATTGTTAATACAAAATGTGCATTTTTGGAATGGACATAAATTTATACTTTATTTTAGATTCACTATTTTAGCGATAATGGTTTGCATATTAAAAACAGATATATGGAGTCGCGGACTTTCTTGTAGAACTATTTAAGAGATACATTTTCACTGTACATTATATTCGTGTAACTTTTATTGTTTTTGAAGTGCAGGCCAAAATGGCTCGCAGATGGAAGATTTTTTCCGTCTTACGTGACACTTATTGTTATATTTTGGCCAATTCACTCAATGACTACATAAATTGTTATCTATATGTTATGTATATGTTATAGTATGAGCTATATTACTGTAAAGTTTCATTAAAATCCATTCAGTATTTTTTAGGTGAAAGAGTAACAAAGATCCATACAAACGTAAGATTGAAATTAAAAGCGTAAGTGGTTAATATACAACTTTAAATCGTTGTAGATACTAAAGAGACATAAAATGAAAAATGATGTAAGGAACCTAATCACGATTATCTAGTCTAGACAATGATACCCCACTCAACATATTTCGTCAACTTATTTTTTTTACTTCGTCACTATATGGCGCCTAATTGTCCCAATATTGAATTTTGATTACTATCATATCTTTAGTAGCACTCCTATGATTAAAACGAATCGATTGATGTATAAATCATTAAAATCGGTCCAGGCGTTTGGTCTCTAGTGTGCCACAAAGGAATAAACATACATATATAGACTGTTAAAAACTATACCCTTTCTGCGCGTCGCGCTTCGCGCTCTTGCATTGCGCAGTCGGGTAAAAAAGACCAATTAATTTTGGTTGATAATCGTCTTAAAGTTCTACTAGTTCTAGTTACTCATAACTATAACAGATGAGAATTAAACATTATTATTTTTACGACTTGGAGTCTTCGAGTGTATCCTTCTAAAATTAAAAGAAAAAAATACTTGACAATCCAAAAGCATTTTTTGGAAGTTATATAATGAAATTGCGACTTTAAATGTATAATTACTTTAATATTAATAATAATATTAAAACACCCACATGTTATGGTATCTCACGCCCAGGTAGAGCGTCCCGGCCGCCCACCTTGCACTTTGACATTTTCCCGCGTTCGCCGGGAAAGATCAACAGGTGGTAACCATGGCAACGCACAAACACGCCGGTCGTGACCTTTCCTCATTCCCGACCCGGTATCCGCCGCCCTTTCGCGATTCACTTTATACACACCCACAATAATGATAAACATTTTCATATTCAAAAATGTAATTAAAAGATACAAACTTTTTAATATGCCGTAATTAATGTCACCAATTGACTTTAATTACGGCAGTTGGAAAACATAATATTAAGTTAACAAATTCTTCGCTAGTTATTATTACATAGACTACTCTATAATATTGGTATTTTAACATTTCTCTTAATCATTCCCTCTGACGAATCATCACCTACGAAAAGATTTTGCAAATAAAGCTTGTTCAAAAATAATTATTACGTAAATAAACGACGTGCAAAGTACGTCAACGGATTACACACAAATACAATAACGTATCTATGGTGGAACGAAGGAAGACACGTTACGTAGCTTATGACCGACCTTATATTTTTAGATTAACTAAATGATTTATCGGAACTACGTAACGTTCAAACTATCCGACCCGGCCGCCGACGTCATGGGAGCGCGTGCCGCTCGGCTAATTGTAGCATGACCAAAACAGTCTCAACCACCTCGACGGCAGGCGCGTAGTACGAAAGCGGAGCGTGATTCAGCGCGCGGAGAAAGTGGTGCTGCGAGGAGTGCAGGGCGCGCGACGTGACGCGTACCGCGCGACGAGCCTCCGCGCCCACGCGAGCGCGCGCTCACGCCGCCCGCCGCACCGCCATCACTACACTTGCGCGCCCCGCGCTTTTCGCGCGCCTCCCTTTGCCGCCGCGACGCCGCGCCATTTTCTCGCGCACGTGGGCGACGCCGCCGCCGCCACCGGCCAAACGACTCGATCACCATTAACGCGGCCGTCGTGAATGAACGCCGACCTCGACCGGGTGGCTGGCGTCCATTGATAGGGCGCGCGGCGGGCGACGACCGGCCGCGGCGCTCGCACGGGGGCGGCTCGTTGCACGCCCTCGCCGTTCGAGCGCGCCTCAGTCGAGGATGTGGCGTTCTCCGCGCGACGACACTCACCGCGTGCGAAATCTGTGTTCATTTATCAGTAGATGCTCGTGACCCTTCGAGTCATTATCGTGCCGCGTATACGTAATTTCCTAAATGTAAAGTTCTGTGATCGCGTCAATTGTTGTTAGGACGTAAGTTAGTTAGTCAACCGGTTAGGTCGAGAACGGCGCACACGCCACTGTGCACCGTGGAGGCTCGCGGAGCGTGGAAACGTGAAGTGGATGTGAGTGTGCGTGCGCTGTCGCACACGCTGGTGTGGTGTTTACGGTGCGGGGATGCGCTCGTGCGATGCTCTCGGTGATCGCAATGCGTCGGCCGGAGGACGAGGAGCTGGGCGGTCGCGGCGACGGCGACGAGTTCGTGGACATCTCGCAGATGCAGCTGCTGGTGGAGGCGGGGCCGAGCGGGCTGCACTACGGGGGCCCGCCGCCGCCCCTGGCGCAGCCCCAGCCGTACGCGCAGCCGCCCGCGCATCCTGCGCCTACCACCTCCGTCGACGACCTCTTTGCGCTCTACTTTACACCTACCCCACATGGCGACCATGCACTAGGTACGAAACTTATCCAAAACCAATAAATTTTCTGTTATGTTCCTATGTGACATTTAGTTAGTTAGGTTGGTTTACCTATAGGTACCTACTAAAAATAGAGAACAACATTATTGTAACAATAACTCATGCAACTGGACTAAAACTAAAACTTGTTTCATATAATAATATTAAATAAGTCACATAAGAAGGCTCTAAGTAAGAAGAGGTAAGTATTAATAAATAATTCACGCCTTGTTGACGATTTACTGGATAATTTTCCGCTTCTAAACATAGACACAAAATAAATATAAACTAGCCTAGGGTTCAACGACCATGTAGGTACTTAAAATAAGCTCAATGTAAATTCTAACTGAGTATGACATATTTGTATTGTGTATTGGAACTCACTAAATTTTAATATTTAATTGAATCACAACTCCTATTATACGTTTGTTAAGAAATCAAACTGAAAACACTTCGCAGTGTTGTTCTATCATAATAATAATCTCGGCACGCTGATTCGACCTTGCGTCGTATGTCCGACATCGTCGAGGCATTTCATAAGTCTGATTCGGACTCGCAATAATTCGGATCAGCGTTCCGCATACAGTTATCTGGACCGGATGGCTCTAATCGGCTGCGTGCGCGCACCATGGCTATCATGTTCACCCGCTAGCCGTAAACATTGCCATTATCAAATTTTGCGACAGCATTATTGAATCAAAAAATTATTGAACAATGAATGAATGAATATGATTATTTGCATGAATTTAGAGTACGTACATGATATTACCTACATAATTACATAATTTATCAACATTCCTAATGAAATATTTATACACATCTGAAATTGACTATTGTAAAAAGTTTACTGTAAAATATTTCGTCGATTAGTTATAATAAATGTATATGAAATGAATAAATATATATCTGTTTCTTAGGTTTTCACGCACATCACTGATTAAATAAAACTAGTTTTTACGGGTTAATGCACGAAAACTTTATTTATAAATAAAATAAAAGTTATAAATAAAAGTTTTATTCTGACGACGTAGCCTGTAAAGGCTACGAAACGTCAATAAATAAATAAAGTTTTCGTGCATTAACCCGTAAAATCTAGTTTTATTGAATAAATATATATTTATATATGTATATTATTTTCATTAATTTGTTAATTTACCCTTTCATACAGTATCAATCTTTTTTAAGTTAAATAAACTCTTTTTGCGTCTGGTTAGACTATCGAACTTAAGGAGTAAACTCCAGTCGTGCGTCGGAGCTGACACACACATTTTTTTTTGTACTGATCGTTCTACCGCAGCTAGTTTACGGAAAAAACGATAATATGCACAACTTCAAACGCCTGAATCTCTAAATAATGTTCAATAAATTAGATCAAATTAATTACTACGACATCAGAAACATGTTTTTATTGAAACATAATGTATTAGAATTTTGATTTTCTCATTATTAAAAAAAACATCTAACCTCCGTGAGTATTCCCAAAAAATTAATGCAGGTTTACCTCGTATTTTGATATTGAATTAAATAGAATTACTATCAAAAACTTTCATAATACTAATTTACCATCATTGAACTACTGAAATATGTATATAGTTTTATAATAAAATCATTAATAATTATTTTATAAGACTCGAAAGATCACCCGTAAAATGCAATATATACTAGTGCAAATCTACCTACGCGCCGATCAGTACGGCAGCGGCGCAATTTTGTAAAAGGGCTCTTAACACAGGATTATTTTAAGAGAGGTAGAGCAAACCGGATTTCCCACTCGAATTAGAGCGCCTGTCTGGGGAAGTTACCTCCATATTACGGAAGGAACAGTAAAAAAACACTACTTTTTGAGTTTTAATGTTCTTGTGTATCTGTTAGTGGGTAAATTATCAGGGCTCCACGGAAAGGGTTAAGAGAGGCAAGGTGAAGACGACTAATAAGGCTTTTTTATCTGTATGCTGTTGGTCGCAGATGACCTTTACAGAGTCACCGAGTTTTAGGGTCGGTGAGACCTCAAGCCGAGAATTTGCGAGTGCCTCTAGAGATATTTCAGACATATGGCATCTCTCCTCGGAGGGAGTCTCCTCACCATGTGGAGCCTCGAGACCACTCGAACCTGAGGAGGTCGGCTCAACTAAAGGGCAACTCTGAGACTCGGACCTCGACTCTAGTTAGTCATTGTCGTGGGGAGAGGACTAGTAAGGTACATATCCGTCACATCAGCTATTTTTCTGGCTGATCTCAATTCACACTTAATATAAGAAGGGGGGAAGGGCTCTTTCTGCTCATTCTCTGCTCCTTGAACAAAATATCCCGTTTGAATAATTGAATGAAATCCCTCTCCACCAGTAGCTCCTGTTCAAAATACTGACGATTTGGACGCGACCAAAGTTGGCCGTTTGTTGATTGTTTTTTTGCTGCTTAGACGTTCAGCCCTACATAGAGGGCTCAGGTATGGTGGGATTACTTCATTTACTTTATGTTATCTGCCGCGCTCGAGTAAATTTAAACATTCCCGCTTGGGCTCACCTACTAATAACGGTGTAACAACATGTCTTACATACACAGGCCTTCCCAATGGATGGTATAGGGAATTGGCCTATGGTCCACCACGCGAACCCATTCCGTATTGGTGGGTGCTAACGACTACAGATGCAGTCGGGACCAACAGCTTAACGTGCCGTCCTAAGCATGGAAGAGTTAGAGATAATAAGTTTTTGGTCACCCATTCAATGAGCGGCCATTGCGAAAAAAGCTTAACTTCCACGATCGCAGAACAAACAGTTACCAACTACGCCACACTAAGCGTCATATCTCGGTTCCAAGCACTCCATAGTTAGAAAAAAATGTTTTATATTGCTCTTTCAAAATTTACAACTTTCATCAGAGGTCGCTAAAATTGAAAAAGACGCCAACTTTACTCAAACCCCTTTAAGCATCTAAAATGCGCAACCAAAAGACCATCGAGGTATATAACCCAGTCTATGCCTATAAACAAAACTAATACCTAGCAATTTTAATAATTACTCTGATGATGATTCTCGTTTCGCCTTTCTAGTTTAGTATTTGAATATAAAAATAATTGGAAACTTTCCCTACTCTAGGCAGTACCAATGCTCTTTTCTTACACCACAACAGCTGAAAATGGCAATGAGTCCTTCATGACACTTTGTACACGAACCGGAGTCAATTTAATATATACATTTACAACCGGACTCAGAGACGTCAAATAAATTTAATGTCATTAAAAGTCTCATGTCGTTGTCGTCCTCTATTCTAATCACAAAGAGACAGCCCTAACTTTCAACATCATTAACCGATAGACGTCCTCTGCTGGGCATAGGTCTTTTTAAGGGATTCCCATACACAATGGTCCTGAGTTATCCGCTTCCAGTTGCACTAATTTAAATCTTAAAAGTTAATTGCTGTCTTTTTTAAGTACGGCCGTTAGCGTCTCCTCCTCATATGGCCTAGATGAGACGTTATTGTTCTTTTTAGTTAAAAACGTAAAGATTTTTCGGTACATATTTAGACTTTAAATTAAACAACTCTCAAAAGCTTAAAAAAGGGACAACAAACCGGCTGTTTACAACGTATAAACTATTAGGTCGAAAAAAGAATGAAGTGTGAAATTACTTTCTGAGGAATAATCACCTAGGCTAGTACCATCTGTCTGCATGTATTGAATCTTACAAAATACGTCGACATTTCAGCGCTTTTATTAAATAATTATATTGATATATTAGCATTATATACATTAAGATTTTGGAGTAAAATAATAATATGACATCAGACTGCATGGCAATTTATTTGCAATTCCATACTCATTTATATATTTATTAAAACAATAGATACATTTAAATAACAAACTTAAAAACTACTTGATTCTAAAATTTGCAATCCAAATTAAAATTACACATTTGGTTTCTTTTGTACAATACATATCTATACTTCATTCCAGATAACATTAGAAATAAGTAAAAAATGGTTCTTTTATAGGTGCACATTTTTAACTCATTGTGGTAATGAATTTTTCATATAGCTTTTCTCAATTTATGCATAAAATATACAATCACAGCCATCTCAACAATTGCCTACATAAAAAATATCCAGTTCACTGTTTGTATCATAAAAAAATGGTTATCTGTAAAGTCGCTTTACGGACGACAGTGTTACGTGATAACGTCATAAATAAACATTGAAGTTCTCGATTGCACGCTCAGGCTCAGGCGGAACGTGACACTTTTTTTTGCGTGCAGCCGGTGTTCATCGATTTATAAGACGTTATCACATCAAAAGAGTCTTTTTTTTTGGTTTTGTCCAATGTGGACTGCTTGTTGACGGCCCCAGAGGTAGGATGAGAACCAATCCAGTGACTTTGGTGAGAAGTTGTAGGATTTCAGGATAGCGAGGAGAATATCGTGATCAACCATATTAAAAGCGTTAGAGAAGTCTATGAGTACCATGACTGTAACCAACTGTTTCTCCATGCCTATCCTGACGTCTTCAGTAACTTTGAGCAATGCCGTAGTGGTACTGTGTCCAGGGCGAAATCCAGACTGAAAAGGAGTGAGAAGATTATTGGAAAATATGAAAGAGGATATCTGATGATGAGCAACTGCTTCAAAAACTTTAGAAAGAAAGGGAAGGATGGAAATAGGCCTGAAGTTACTAAGTAGCTGAGGAGAGGAAACTTTCGGCAGAGTAAGAACAAAAGCTTTACGCCAAGCTAGAGGAAAATCACTATTTAGAAGGGAGAAGTTGATAATGTGTTCAATAGTTGGAAGAATATAGTCTAAAATATTGACTATCATTTCTCTGCTGACGTCATCCGATCCAATAGCTTTTGATTTGATAGAAATAATAATTTTACGGATATCATCACTTGTTACTGGAGAAAAAGTAAAGGAATCAGAAAGAGATTGGGCTATGGAAGAAATGTTTTTGACTGTATTATTTTTAATAAGTGGGTCAAGTGTACTGGTTGTGGAAAAGTGAATATT